AGAATTAGTAAACATTTTCTATAAATATAGTTCAACCCTTGAAGAAAGGCACGCACACACTTTGTATAACATGACATTTGAATGCTTGATAGGAAATATAAAAAGTTATAAAAATATGAAATCCAACAGTCCTCAGTCAGAAAAGGGTGGATTGTTCTCTTCAGGTCGAGGGTGAGGTTCTGCCTCAAGCAGAGGAGTTCAAGTATCTCGGGGTTTTCTTCACAAGTGAGGGAAGAATGGAGCATGAGATTGACAAATGGATTGGTGCAGTGTCTGCAGTATTGCGGACTTTGCACCAGTCCATTGTGGTGAAGAGAGAACTGAGCTGTAAGACAAAGCTCTGTGTTTACCGGTCGGTCTACATTCCTGCCCTCATCTCTGGTCATGAACTCTGGTAGAGACTGAAAGGATTCAATTCAATTCAATTCAAAAATACTTTATTAATCCCAAAGGGAAATTATTTGTTGTTGTAACTCGTTATCCTCATTTCATTAAGAGATGTTATAGATGCTGATGCTGTAGACAGGAAGGATCTCTTGTAAAGGTCCATCCCACGGTGGATCCTAAGAAACTGGCTGCAGAAGCCGTCCGATCCGTCCACCCAGACTCGACTGGCCTCTCGGTTCCCCCGGGCTGTAGGACCGCCTGAATGCAGAGCAGAACTCCTCCCAGAGCGATGGCCACTCCTCCCAGCAGTTTGCCGAGCTCCTCGTCACTGCGGACAGCCAACTGTAGGTGCCTAGGGACGATCCTGTCCTTCTGCTGTTGTGAGCCGCTAGTTCCAGGATCTCAGTGGTCAGGCACTCGAGCACAGCTGGCAGGTAGATGAGAATCCACAGAACATCCTTTCAACTCATTTGAGATTTGGGGCTGTCGTTGAGATATTATTTGAGCTTTTGAGATGTTAATTAGCTGCTGTTGTTGTAGAAACTGCCTTGTTGCCATGGTTACGCATCATAACAAATGTCCAAAACTAAAAAAGTTTCAGTAAAAATCCTTCCAGCTGCACAGCATCTGATACCAGAGGAAACAATCATCCAGAAAATGTGATTTACATCCAGAAAAAGAGGAATTAAAGTTTCCAAAAGCAAAATCTCAGAATGAAAGAAACAGAGCTGCTCCAACATGCAGCCACCTGGAGCGGCACAGTTCTAGAACAATGAATGAGAATGAGATCGTGGATTCAGGAGGTTGAAATGAGTTTCCTCTGCAGGGTAGTTGGACTCTCCCTTAGAGACAGGGTGAGAAGTTCAGTTATCAGGAGAGACTTGGAGTAGAACCACTGCTCCTCCACATCCAGAGGAGCCAGTTGAGGTGGTTCAGGCATCTGCTAAGGATGCCCCCTGGACATCTCCCTGGAGAGGTGCTTTGGGCATGTCTGACTGGAAGGAGACCCCGGGGAAGACCCAGGATACGCTGGAGAGAATATGTCTCTCTGCTGGTCTGGGAACACCTTGGAGTCCTCCCAGAAGAACTGGAAGAGGCTGTGGAGAGAGATGTCTGGACCTCCCTGCTCAAGATGCTGCCCCTGAGACCTGAGTCCAGAACAAGATGAAGATGATGGATGGATGGATGGATGGATGGATGGATGGATGGATGGATGGATGGATGGATGGATGGATGGATGGATGGATGAACTTCCTGTTTTCAGTCAAACCCATCCTTCTGTCCAAGTCCAGTCCAAAAAGGGTTAATATCATGTCCTAAACACTTCTGGTAAGAAGAAACACACAATAATGACAATACTGTTTACCCATGTCTTATAAAGCAAGGTTAATGCATCAGCACTCATTTTCAGTCTCCCCACCATCACAGACATCTACACCTCCAGATGCAGGAAGAGGGCCACCTGCATCATGAAGGACC